TTGAATAGACTGTCAACAACATGCTAATCGCCTTCAATCTGCTACCAGTAACTGTTCCCCACAGACCATAAAAGATATTCTGATTTGACTTTTAGATGCCTGGCCATCTGTTTCCTGAACATCTTGTATTAATTGTCTGAATGGATAGACATTTGGCAAGCACACGTAGCCTACCTAACCTGTCCATTCGTTCAGATGAGATGCATCATTAGCAGTGCACTATCTATAGTCCACAGTTGTTTCTCCCTTTGACAAGTCCATAGTAATTATGTATGCGTAACATGCAGCCTGTCACACCAGGAAAGTCAGTTGTCAATGCTGTCTTGTATTTATGTAATCTATCTGTCAAATGATTACTCATAACAAAAAGAGACAGAATGAGCATAAGTAGGGGCATAAGTCTCTTGACAGTTAATGAAACTACACAATGTCTTATGTGACAGTGATGTTTTTCCATATGGAGGTAGCCCTGTTGTCTTCAGCAAAGCTGTCTTTTAAAATGGAGGAAATACCACTGTTGCCATTGGTGTAGTTAGATTAGCATTGTGGAATCCTGGCCATTGATTTCATATGCTAGATATTACTGTGAGAGGAATAATCAGTAGCAAGCTCTTGTTATCCTCTCTGACTGTTTCAGCTGAGTTTGATGCTGCAGTTACCACACTGAAATGAACATAATAGTTTTTGTTGGGGTTCCTCTCCTTTAAATAAAATTATTCACTTCTCTAAATGGTTATGTGGACCATAAAGCTTCATTTATGAGTTCAGCAAAGCATTTAGTAGAATTGTCTATTTACTTTTAGAAAAGGAAACAAATGGGGAAAGCTCGAAGCCCAGAAATGTTATCCTCACAACTGTATTTGGTAAAATTCGTGGCATTCAGATCATGGATACATTAATGTATGACAAATCATATTATAATCATGATTTGAACTAAATTAATTCTTCTTCCTTGATCAGTGCTAGAAGAGTTGCAAAGTGCTAATGCAAGTAGAGAAGTCTGGTAACAGAATTTTTGTTAGCAGTACACCAGATTTCTTGCAACAAAAATAAAACTTAGGGGAAAAGATCAGTCAGGTATATTTCACAAGTATCTCCTGAGAATTGAGGCATAGTGATAAAAGTGCAGATAGCGAAAAGATTCTATAAGATCATGGGATTGACTTAATACTTCAGGACAAAAGGATTGCTTCCATGCTTTTCTTGTTGTCAGTGAACACGTGTATCAGTTTTAAATGAGGATCATTAAAAGAAAGGAAAGAAACAAACCCTAGCAAACTGCAAACTGGAAAAAATGCACTGCAGATGAAAACCAGTGCAAATATAATGTCTCTCTTCTTCATGTTTGTTATTTGTGACTGTCTTAAAAATATTTTCTTAAATTTGTTTAATTTTTTTAGAGTTTGAGGACTGTATGTGAGCAAACTGTTCCCTGATTGGCTTAACCTTGAGATCTGATTTTTAAAAGCATAGTGTGTAACACTCCACATGAAAAATCCATGACCACTACTAATAATTGATAGGAAGGCTATTGCGAGTGTTGAACACAATTTTGACCTGAGAAAATGTATGGTGATATATGTGTATTTTAAGGGACTTCTTAAAGTTTTTCTTCAAATGTTTATTTGATTAAGATATTCCCCCAAAGGCCACATTTAATATTTTCTTTTGGTGTACACTTTGCATACCTACAGTCATGTCATATTCTGTTAGTTATGTTGTACTATTTTGTAAATACTTAGCATTTTAAAAGAAGGACTCAACACTGATCAAGTATCCCTAAAAGTGTTTTTGACCACTCTTTTACAAAGTTTTTTATCATATTGGATAATTTCCCTATTTCCTCTGATTTCTCTTCCTTCCCCTCTCACTCTGTGACCTGGGATCAGCTTCAAAGAAAAAGACTTGTGAGGGACTGAACAATGGTATTATGTTATTACAGGTGTACCTGACCTCTTTTAATTCAGTTGAAATACATCCATGGTTGTGCAGACGGGAAGGTAGACTTGCTTTGAGCAAACCTTTCTCTTTTATCTTCTTTGAAGTAACTTCTGTAGGCAACAGCAATGAGGTCGAGGTACCAAACTGTGCTTCATGGGTGAAAATCGTCCTGAGCACTTGGGCCAACAAATGCTGTCAGGATTTCACAGCATCTGAAGCCACTGTCCATGCTGTGTTCACAAAACCAGTGTGACATCTACATGAGAGATCTCTTCAGCATGGCAGAACCCATGATTCTTTTAGGTAGTTAGTCATCATCAGCTAAAAATAAAGCCTTTAAACCAATTAAAGAAAAAGATATAAACACAAATATAATTTTAGAGATGGAATTTGAGGATAAAAATTCTAAATTTTCATGCATTTGGGAAGTAGTTACTGGAGGAAGGCACACACCTTAAAGAGAGTGTTTTCTTTCACTTCCACATCTTTTGATGGAAGTCTTATAAAAATAATCTTAAGACATTTTAAGTTGGAGATAGTAGCAGGCAATACCATACTGCAAGAGTTCACCATGCTCACCTGGAGTATTTGCATCTCCTTCAAAAACACAGCTCTTTGTAAATTTTCTGTCCTTTTCTTTATTTTTGTCTCTTCTTCCAGATATAGACAAAATTATTCAAAATTATATTGTCCTTTCATTCTTACATGGATGAGCTGGCATTCACTGAGTGACGATATCTTTCTGCTAGTCTCAGCACAGAGATCTAGAAAGAAAGACAGTAAGAGAAGAGGATATACTGTTTTGTTATGAATGTAGTCTCCATACAAATTGTTACACTTTTTATTCTGATTTACAAATTCCACTTCTGTATAGCTTTCAATTTCTTGAGGTAGTCTAGATAGATAAATGGAGAAGGATGCAAAGCAGGAAGGGAACATAGATTGGGAGCAACAGATTAGTACCAAATATGCCTCCCTTATGCTCTAGAAGGTGTGCATGCTTGCAGAAACACGCTCATGTGCCATGTGAATAATTGACTTCCTGGAGTGAAGCTTGGAGCACTCTAGTATCAGGCATAGCCTAAAAGAGGCAAAGAATGACCATACTGGACCATAGAAGTCTAAAACTATGCAGGGTACTGGCAAAAGAACTTTGGCAGAAAGTGTGCCTCAGGAATGCCTCACATCGAGTTCAATGATGGAAAACATCCCACATCTCAGTGAAACTGCTTTCCATTAAGGCCAGAAAATCATTTGCACGGGTTAAATGACACACAGAAACATTTTGCCTGTGGATTAGGGGTGTTCTGGCATAAAAGAAGTCAAAATGACCCTCTGCAAAGTAGAAGTGTAAAAAAAGCCCAAACATGTCAGAAATACTTGTTTTGAAAAGCATAAGCTTATAATTAACTTGTTATAACCACTTAACTAAATCCATTTTTTCTGTAGCCACATGATTAGAATTCCACAGAAGTTCAGCAGGAACACCAGGATTAAAGTACGGTATGCACATGTATGTATGTTTTGAATTGGTATGTATTTTATGATCTAGTCCTATCTTACCATGTTACTTCATAAGGGTAACAGAGTTTCAATTTTCAAGATATTACCTAAACCCCCAAAATTTCTGTCAGTTTAGAGCTGGAAGCCAGTCTCAATAGTAGTTCAAGTCAAGTATAGACACTCTCTTGGCATTTCCAAGGTTCAGCTTGGTAATTTGCAAAGTACTTCAGGCTATGAGCCTGATAAACAAGAATCACTATTAAAAAACTGATAAAATTACTGTTACACTTAAAAAACCAAACAGCCACAGTTACAGTAAGTTATAAAAAGAAGACGCTTTTTTTCTTTCAGAAAAAAGTAATAAAAATTCAAGATTCTAATAATGGGGGGGAAAGGAGAAACTAGAATTTATATGGCATTTGTAAGATGTTTCCTTTTTATTTTCTTTTGGTTTTGGGTTTTTTGGGTTTTTTTTTGAAAGGGTACTGATTGCTCATTCTTAAAAAGCGTTAGGAGCAGTTATCCTTACGGTTGGCTGAAAGAATATATAAAAAAGTCCATCTCAAGGCAGAAATAAAAAAAGTCTATAGAAAAAAGGCTTAAAAACCCATATTTGATTTCACTTTAGTACCATTTTCTTTCTCTTTCTTGTTCCAAACTTTGGGGTTTAGATCAAATGTATAAAACCCCTTAAATATCTTCCACATGAATTAGCACTTAACTAGTTTTCCTTTTTTTTTAGCTTGCTTTCTTGTATTAGTTACAAATATGTTTCTGTGATAATAAATCTGTAGTTAGTTCATAATCTCTAGCTCAGAAGCATGACATCTAGTGAAAAAGATGCTTAAAATTTTAAAGAGGAGGGAAATCCCTTCACATTGATTGTTTACACACTGTGCTACCTGTGATATAGTATTTGTATCAAATTTTCTGTAGCAAATTTAAAATTACAACCATCTCAAGAAAGTGTTGCTGATTTTGTATTTATTAAATAACCACTATTTTTCTATGTATTACCATTAGTTTTGTCAGGTTGTTTCTACTTAAATAGATTTTTGAAGTCTTTCAAGTCCCTAATACTTTTGTTTACATAATATATTGAATTATATATCTCTTTCTGTCACTAATTCACTACTGTTTGTAACCTTTCAGTGGCATATAGATATGAATCAATCACACAATCTGGGGGAGTTTGGTTCTAAACCTCCCTATATAAAATGCAAAGGAATTTAATAAGAAAGAAAACTATGAAATTAAGCTGCCTGCACTCTGTTCTCTGTTCTGGAGAAATACTGACAAAACAAAGGATACCTTACTAACGGCTGTTCAAAATAGACACAAAGAGAAAGTGGTGATCAGAGAAGCAATAATGAGTTGAGAATCTCAGCCTCTCTGAATCAAGTACTAAAACTAGCAAGATTGATAGATCTCAATCTCTATATCCTGAACAGCTAAACCTTTATCCCTGCTGGAAAACCTGCTGTGGAGCTTCCATAGAGGAATGCTGCACAAACTAAGGGGATGACTGCATAAAGGTGGGTAGGACATACTAGGGGAAACTTGGAGAGGGGTGGAGAGGGGCACTCTGGCTTTGAAGAATTTGAAGACTGCACAGAAATTATTATTGGATGTTTAAGTAGAGAAAAAAAAGCTTCCAAGTGAAGAGGTAGGAGTGAATTGGGATGGAACAAATGCAGAGCAAAGAGGGAAAAGGGGCATAAAAGAGGCCAGGAATGTGTAAGCAGGCTCTTGGTCACTGTGCTTGTCTCACCAACCCTGCAGCTGATCGTCACCCCTCATTTCATGGTTAACCTCCCTTTTTAACCATTCTCTGTCTGAACGTGCTCTCTATTCTGCATGCATGACTCAGTAGCAAAATTCAAGGCAGTCTATCTGGCAACCAGGAGAAGTCTGGGTGATGGTTAGCGGGGAGACCAAGGGTCTTGGAGCTGGCTAACTGCAAACTAGATCTGATAGCAGGACCCCAGAGAGATGGAGAACCTGGAAGTCTGATGGGATCTGGGAAGGGTTTTTTCCCCAAGAGCTCTGAGAAAGGACTGGATGATTATTCACGCAGTCTCTGTTTTAAGTGGGTGTCTGTGCCAATACTTTTCTCCTGTCTGTTGATCTGTTTGTAAGCAGTTGTTTTTGCACAGACCTTTTGTGTGCCCATGAGAGATTAGTGTTCAGCTTCATTCCTGGTGAGACTTGGAAATGGGACTGGAGCAGATCCTCTCAGTCAGCTCAGGAGGGGATAGATCACCTGCATCCTTCAGTCCACTGGATTTGGCTATGTATTATATGTCTATTAAATACTCTAAGTTTACCTACTAATCTTAATATTTCAAAACTGTAGGGTCAAAACTCTAGGAGATCTTTCTTACAGTGGGTGTGAGGGTAGGAAGGGGTGTGAAGTTTTGTGTATTTTTTTTAGGGGGGATTATTTTTTGATGGAGTTTTTCCACTTATTGTATCATTAGCTTGGACCATAGCTGGATGGGGGCAAGAGAGGAAGAGTTATTTAAAGGCGTTGAGCATGGATGTGCAACTACGTGTTTTGTTATCTCAGTGAAAAATTCATGTTACACTTGGAATCAATACAAATCTTGATTGTCAGGAAGTGACCTGAGATATCGTGACTCATCTCCCTGCAGGTCATGTTTTGGCTGGCTTTGATGTTTAGGGTACCCAGCCTGCAAACCTGGACTGAAGTTTTGCCTTTGGAAAAGTGATTCTGTTTCAGGATTCCTTTACTTTTTCAATAATTCATGGTTCACACATTACAGTGTCATGTCTTATACCACAAGTCTGAGGTGCAATTTTGTTCCCATGAAAAGTTGCAGACCAAAGCACTTTCTTTCATGACTGTGATAAAGATAAAATACTGCAGGGCAGGTTATCAAGGTATTGAAAGGATTAAATGAGGTTAGAAATAGCTTTGGGGTTTACTTTGTGCAGGAAAAAACTTCTATGAAGAGAAGAGACTAACAAGTTGTATCACCTGCAGGAGAGCACATTCTTTTTTGAGTCTCTTGAGGCTATCATAGAACCTTACTAGGGCAAAACAATAAAGATAGAAAAAAATATTATTGATTTAGATTTGAAGGGAAACATAAAACTTGAAAATATTTTATATCAATATTTTTTAAATCCTACTACCAAAAGTTTTGACATGAAAAATAATTTTTATTACGCTAATATTTTTATTTACTGTTTTTACCTGTTGATAACATTCTTACTCTCCTTAATAGTTGGCCAGTTAAACTCCTCATTTACATTTGGTGTTTTTTGTAAATGTTTCTCTTTCAACTGAGTTGCAAACTGGTGATTTCAAGAGATTTGCAAAGTAGAATTAAATTTCAAGCAATAAAATTCTAACTCAAATATTCACTGTAATATCTACTAATTTACCTAATCAACTATTTAACTAATTGCAAACACAATGAGAGTTTACAAAATCTACTCTCCAAGTTTATGTTTTGCCCAGATGGATATTGTGAGAGGAAGTACCCCATAATTGGAGATGTCTTCCCAGGAAGAAATCTTGCATAAGGTTGCTGTTGTGTGCCATTTTTTGACATAAATGGAAAGCACTCCCATTTTATTTAGATACTACTCCTCAAATGCAAAAATGCATCGAGCAGAATTCAGGCACTAAATGTTGATCTAACAAGATATACTGTCATCTGATCTTGCAATATTAAACTTTACTTAATACTTTTCCCTGGCTTCATGTTCTGTGCATCAATTCACTTTTAACCAACTATGTTTCTAGTACATCTCAAAGTCTTTATATATACTACCCCTCAGAAGTCCAGAATTCTGGAATTCATCATTCTCCAACTTCAGCACATTCAAATACTGTTGTTGTCTATGAAAATGTATAGTCCTGAATAAGTATTTCTTGTGGTCATATACTCCCTTCTTCGTTCTTTGCTCTATGCATATATGACCATATAATTTGAGGCCTGGAAAATTGTTATTGATTTCAGAGATTTCTCTCTTCCTATTTAAGAAAAAATAAAATTTCACAGCTGATAACATATTTTTAGTTGAATACCTCCTGCTATGTCTTGTCTTAATTTAAGTTACAATGCAGTAGGTATTACCGCATAATCTTGTGCCATATTGCTTTACTTGCAAAGAACTGTCTTATTTAAAAGACTAAGATCTCAGTTCTGTGTGACTTTAAAATAAATTTAGTTTATCTCCTGTCAGTGATGATCTTTCTCAGGGAAAAATCCTTACTGTTGTTCATGGAGCTTTATAAATACCTCCTGAACTGTGGGGGGTTTTTAAATGTTGAAGGAGACATTAAGTCAAAAACTGATCACAAAATGGAAATTGAATTTTAGTGGAGGCAATTGAAAAGAAGACAGAAGGACTTCTGTACAGGAATAATTAGACAATTACAATGAAATATCATAAATGAACAAACCAAGTGACAAAAAAATCATGTAAAACCTTCAAGTATCAATGTAAGTTTACTCTAGATTCCTCTATTATCTCCTAACTGCCTTCATTACTGTTGCCTGGGACATAACATCACGTAACAGAGGATCACAAAGCTTTTGCATACTCAACCCTCACAAATCAGGAACAACTCTTGTCACCCCGAAGTTTAGTAAAGAGAGGCCATCTCTGCAACAACAGACAACACTGTCATGATATTGTGGGGGAGATAAGAACATTTAAGATAAATAAAATTATATGAAATATTCTTTTTCATAAATGAAGGCAATTTAGAATAGGGAAGAATTAATGAACTGTAACAGGTCTGAAATTAGCAGTCATATCACATTAATGCAGTGACTGGTTGTGGTTCAGCTAAAACAATGTTACTGAAATACTAGCAGGAGATGTAATTGAAAATCAGTGATAAAAGAGAAAAGGTATCAAGAAATTTTGACTAGAGAAGAGCATTTTTTTCTATGGCAATAGTTCTCAAACAATAGTGTCGCAACAGTTGACACTAGGCAAGCTGGTACACAAGGAAGTCTTGACACACCATATAGTGTGAGCTCTGCTGTCTCTGATTGATGTATCTACTAAGGAGCTAAAAATATTTTCCTGTTATCGCTTTTCTATGTAAACAGCTGCTGTAATTGCTAGTGATGACAGCTAAGTTGGGAAAACATCCATGAAAAGTTTTCTATTTAACAGTTAATCTATGTTGCTGCTAAATACACCTGTTCCTGCTGCTCTAAGTTGGTTTTCTTGGTGGTATGCTGATTGCAGGTACATCTTGAGAGGCTTGAGAAGCTAAGTTCTGCTTCATGTGTATTTTTTGTCCTTTGGAGTTTCTAAGAATAATCACCTTTGACTCATTTCTGTGATTCGGTGAACAACCTGCATTACAATATGCCAATAGAGACTTTACTTACAAAAGGATACAAAATGTAGTTAAGTAATCAGCATGTATTCATTGTGCTCTAGTCCTCTAAGCTTCAGGCTGAAAATAGCTCAAAAATAATAGTATTTTGTAGGAATTCTCCCTCTTTTCAGTGTCTCTATTGCTTTCTGATAATTACCAAAACAGCAAATCTGTTTGTCTGAAATACTGGAAGGATTTATTTTTGCCTGGAACCTTGTTGATGGATGCAATAGGTATCTAAGGTATAATAGCAATATTTTCTTGTAATATACTATTCTCTCTCTTTTTTTCAGCTAATTTCTCCAGCCTAGTAGTTTCTGATATTATTACGAGGCCTTGGGATATTTTACCAGTGCAAAATAATAGCTGCTGGAGAAAGAAAAGCAGGTCAGCTTGCTTCCAGTTGCATTTGAGGGGAGGGGGGCAGAAGCAATGCATTTTCTAGTGCTTTCATCAAAGCATATTTATTAAAGGTCTCAAAGTATATAATTTCTTCTGATTTCCTTAAGAGATTGTTTCAAAGTTAAATATTTTGCATGACCATGTGTTTAGTTTATTTTCTTTCTTTTATTTTACTTTTTTTCTTTTTCTCCTCTCCTGGGCCCTAGTCAGTCTTCCTACTCACATGGTCCTCTTAATCTCTTCCTTGCCTTAAGCAGAGAAAGATTTACTTCCTTCAATAACAGTACGTTATTGTCCTAAGCCATTGCTTTTTAATTTCTATTTTAGCTGTAGTATATGTGTCTTCCTTTTTCCAGTTTCTAAAGTAGCTTTCATATTTTGGCTTAATGTCATTTTTTGAATTCTCTTTGAACTGCTAATGACTTATTGTCAAGGTAATAATAGGATTGTACATGGGATCCCTGCCATGCCACGTATGCAATTACTGTCGTAATCTGCACCTTATATTAAAATCTAAGAGAATTATCTGGCTTCTATTCAACAAAATAGGTTCATTGCCAGTTCTATTACAAATCTTTCTAAGTATCTTCTTTCTGTTAAATAGCCATTTATATTAGTTCTGTATAGTGGATCAATTCCTACAACACTGTAGAATGCATGGCTAATGGAGTGGGCCTTGTGAAAAGATCATTTATTCAGGTTTTACAGGGAATCTTGTATGTTTCTTGGTGTGTAAGATATTTTAAAATAAAAGTAACGGTAAATATTAGGAAGTTAGCAGAGAATATTTTCAGGACTCATGAAATTTTTCTGATAATATAATCACAAAACCTTTTTCTCACTAAAGACTTTGTAGCTGCGATTTCTGAGTATAATTGTTAGGGGTTAGAATCAAGTATTTATTTTAAATTTATTGTATCTAACAACCTTATTTTTCTAATTATCAGTCTTCATGGTGCATTCAAAACACTGATAAAACACCATATGGTGCAAGTACATACCATATGTATGGTATTCCATACATATTCAAACTTGTATCCCATCAATTAATGACAGTTTTACATTACATGATAATCACCATAATGAGATTTTTTTTCTTCATTTTGATACAAGCCAAGCAATGTGAACTTCCATATATGCCTCACTTCAAGTACTATTCAGTTCCACTGATTTTCTTACATTTTATTCATATTGGACAAGTACTTTTACTCTTTATAGGACGGATTTACTTGTATTTCTAAAAGTAATTAAATAAATGCAGTTGACGAGATAATTGTCATAGATTCCTGAACAACTATTCTACTTCATTATAAATAAATAAATATTTCCTGGTCCAGTAACATTTTACAGAAATAGTTGTGTCTGGTTCCATACCAACTCCTGGAAAAACCTATTTTCTTGAGACCATTTTAAAGGAAAAAGGTCCTTGGGCCAAGATTCAGGCTGAGAGTTTAAAAGAAAAGAAAAAAAATGAAAAATCATTTGTGGATTTTCTGTGAATTTAAGATGTACTCTTTGGATTGAACTGTGTAGAAGAGTCAACTCTGTACATTTGTGGAATTTAGAGAAAAGCTGTAAAGAATTTCTTATTTGTAAAGGAGACTTTTCATGATAACCATGCTAGTCTGTGAATGAAAATTACAAATTCCCTCCTAATGATCCTATTCGTCTTCATAAAACTACAAGTATTAAAGGCAAAGGGAAGATGAGCTGCTTCTAGATTTATAATGTCAAGGAGGGAGACATCTAATGTCATGGAGTAATGGATATAAAAGGTTAATCTGGGTTCAGAAATCCAAGTAGCATAGTAAAAGCAATGACTGCTAACTTCAAGCATTTCAAGAATTATTATTTCAGAAACTTTTTATAATCTTCGTCTTCTTGCAGTGCTCAGTAGAGAAGGCAGCAATCTTCTGTGTACGCTAAAGTAGCTAAAAGCACTTCATGGTGAAGTACAGAATAATTAATCATACCACGGGATTTGGAGTTTTCAAAAGTGTGTTCCTGAACCAGTAATCCATACCTGAAAGGGTTTTCTGTGTTTCTTTTCCCTCTCATAAGCTTGGTTCCTAGTACCCCAAATCTGCACATAAAATAATAGAACTTTTGTTTTCATCTGGTATGTTTTCTGTTTCAAATCCTTTTGTACAACTATTTTTTAATTAAGTTGTATATTGAATTACTTTTTGGCACAGGATGATTTTGGATCCTGATTTTTTCAGATTAATTTATATGAACATAAATAGCAGGGTAGCACTGGAGTGAGTGGACACTGACTCAGGACTTTAGATCAGCTTGCTATTTTCTTAAAAACTCTGACCCTTCTAATATAGAGGGAAGAAATTTATTTCTGCATTTTATGTTCTCAGTATATCTGTCTTTATTCCATTCAGTCTGCACCAGAAGTGTTCACCAGTTGATGCACTTGCTGTAAAATGTGAGAATGTAGTAACATCCACCAAAGCAAAAGCTCTGATCCCTTCACTCTGTAATGGGTTGTTGAACTCAAATACTGTAAAAAGTTTCTTTTTTTTCTCTCTAAAAGTAATCACATTCCTTATAACTGAGAAAAGAAACCAACCTATGTGACAAACAAGCATAACTTCAGAAATTCACTGCAGTCTACAAGCCCCAAACCCCAAAGGGACTCAAAGTGGGCCTGGAAACAGCAGAGGACCAGTGAACTAAGGTAGGAAGCATTTTTGTGGTAAGCAGTCACTTCAAGCTTTTCTTTCCATTTTTCATACTCTGGGTTTTACATTAAAAAAAAAAATCCACAACACATTTTCCACTCAATGGATCTGAGTTTAAATCATTTTACTGCTGTAGTGGATGAGATGTAGAAAACAGCCAGTACCAGAGTAATAGAGATGTTTATGCTCTCTGGCAAAATTTAAAAAAAAAATATAGTATAAAGGAAAATTGTAATGTCACAGTGTTCATATGAAAATAATTTAGGTATGCTTTAGGTCTTTACTGTTTCTATAAAATGCTTATAATTGTTCATCCATTGTTTCTGTAGTTTAATAAGCAAAAAATTAATAGAAACTGGAAACATTTGTCTGGGAAAAAAAGCAATGCCTGAAACACTTCCGTGGAATTAAATTCAAGATCTGATTTTGATGGAAGATATCACAAGGTAACTACAACACTGGCTAATTGGGAATGCGAAGATCAGAGGTGCAACCAAATATCTCTAAGCCTTCAGGGACATGAAAGTGTAAGGTATTCACACAATCTAATTGAAATTGGGAACTGGCTGAACAGCAGGTCCCAGTGGGTCATAATCAGTGGCACAGGGCCTAGTTGGAGGCCTGTCACCAATGTTGTCCCCAAGGTTCAATACTGGCCCAGTAGTATACTTTAAACTGCAGAGGAAACTCCATATACTTAGAATTAAATAGGTTTTTAACATCGCAGAGTGATAATTAGTTTTTCATATAATGGAACTTATAGAAAAATAACATTCTTAGATTGAAACTTAGATTTAATCTTAAATTGAAACAATAGTCATAAACGCTGCCAGACTTCATCAAAATAAAAGTAGTAGGATAGATCTCTAGGAAAGATTTCTGACAGATTCAAAATCTTTTTTTAAGCTCAGTTGATTTATTTTTTTTCAGTTCAGGTTGCTGTTAATAGATTCACCTCTATGTTACCAATTCTCTCTATTAAGTCCCTCTTTTCATTATTTTTTACTAAAAAGGACGTTTTAATTAGAAAGTCCATTAGTCAGAGTAGAATAGGAAAAATTTCACAAAACATTTTAAAATTAATCATTTAAAATTTGTGACTCAGTTATTGTAACTGTACCTGAAGCTATTTTTATTCTGTGTGTCCAAGGTATAACCTTGTACCTATTACCTTTGTGCACAGCATTTATTTCTTGTTCTCTTAGGAAAACCATTATAGAAACTTAACTCTACGTTGACAAATTTTATTTTATTTTATTTTATTTTTAGGTTTAGAACCTTCATCTTTCCCAGCACAGGGAAAACCTGCTCTGCAATTATTGCCTCTCTTAACAGCCCTTACCAGAGAGATTGCTGAATATGCTTTCTCTCCCTCTCTTTTTCAGTTTTGTAACTTAAAATTGTGTCTCTCCTTGGCTCTTAATCTATTAGGAGAAATTGGAAGTTTGTGGAATTTCAAATTACACTTGATTTAGTTTCAGTTGAAGTTTTACTGTAGTACTTGTCCTGAGATGTTATAGTGAAGGTATATAAAATATGAAGCTCAAACAAATGGAAAAAAAGGTAGATCATAGTATGCATGATTTATACTGTTGCTTATTTTTCTTTCTGTTTTTGATTTGTACTACTGTTGCAGAAGGTTTTATCTCCATCTTCTATAGGTTCTCAACCTCTCCACTTTAGCAGCACTATTCTAATAGCTAAGATTGTTTACTTCTCTATTCATTAGTTCTATTTAAAAAGAATAAAATTATTTACTTCTTAAATTTCACTTTTACCCCAATTATCATCAATGCCAAATCAGTGTCTTCAGCAAAATTCAGGGTAATTTCTCTTTATTACAGCTGTGCTTGATATTGTAATCTAAGGCATAAACCTAAAGGCCGATCAAGAAATGAAGACGTTTAACTGGATTGAATAAAGCTATTTATATATGTTTACACCCAACTATAAATTTGGAAGCAAGGATATTTCAATGGCAAAAGTCATTCAGGGAGAACGTTTAATTTGAGTGAAAATACAGCCATTTGACTGGGGACAAATTATTCTAAGAACAATGAAACAAGAGTAGAGTACAAGCAGGTTCAGTCTTTCCCTGTACCGCACCTAACCGAACAATGGTGGTGTGGTGGCAGTTAATAGTACTTCCCACAACTCATCAAGAAGGAAATAATAACCTAATCTAACCTTTACAAAAGGAACAAATGGTCAAAGTAGTTTGGTTACAGTAAAACAGTAAACCAGACAATTGGAGAATTGTGTCGTAATTTTTTAGGTTGTTAATGTGATAAATTTTAATTATCAAGATTATAAAAGTTTCTTTATTTCCATAGAGAAGGTGCAATGTTGAATACCAAAAGATACCTAGCTATATTACTTAATTGCAGATGACTTGGAGTAGAATATTCCTGAAAATTTGAAAAGAAATAAAGAAGCAGATGGAGATTTTTCTCTGCAGAGGTCAGGAGTTCAAAGTAAAAACCCTTCTTCAAACGGTGAGAAAAAGTAGACAGGATTTTTCTTAATTCTCTAACAAGAAGTGGCAGGGAGCCAGAGAGAAAAAGAAGGAATTTTTAGTGATAAGATATAAAAGCAAACTGAAATCAACAACCAGGATGTACACAGCAGCAAGTGGCTTTCTTTATGTGTTTTATTTATGTCTTTGTTGTTAAACCGAATTCTAGATTATTTCTGTTTGTGCACAGAAAGGAAACACAGGTAAAAATGGTATTGTGCTTGTTGGGAAAGATGAGAGGATGAGAAAATACAGCAGAAAATGGATGGATAAAAGTGAATTTTACTGTGGACAAAAACAATAGGCAGGAAACAGGCTTGGCAACTTCATTGAACATGATGAAGTTATTAGAAAAGGATAAGAAGGAAATCAATGGAAATCAGACAATACCAAAGTAAGTGAGGTTATCAAGCTAAAAAATAACATAAAAGGAATAAAAAACAGAGGTATGTCTGTTCTAGAAGCTGAAATCAGTTGTATGTATGTATGGCCAGTCTTCGCGAACGAAGATTTTGGGAAAAGTTTTTTACCTTTCGAGCCTGCGCAATGGATTTTTTAGGTGAGACAGAGCATGCGCTGAACTGAGCCCACCCTTTAATCCTAAGGTTCATCTGCCGGGGCCAAGCGAGCTTGGGCAATGGCAGTGAGGTCCTCAGGTCGTAGGTTTGTTTAGAGTGACCTTCTCTTAGATGGATGGCCTCACAGGGCTGACGAGCTCCATCTGCCCGGGGGAGTATCCCTGACCGGGAATCGAACCCGGGCCGCGGCAGTGAGAGCGCCACATCCTAACCACTAGACCACCAGGGGTCCCCTGAAATCAGTTAGTAAAGTATTAAAAGGACTAATATTGTAACTTTTATGCCAGAGTGATAGTTATGAAACATATATTTGTAGGGCAAGGGACCCCTGGTGGCCTAGTGGTTAGCGTGCGGTACTCTCACCGCTGTGACCCAGGTTCGATTCCCCGGTCCCCCGGGCAGATGGAGCTCGTCAGCCCTGTGAGACCATCCATCTATGAGAAGGTCACTCTAAACAAACCTACGTCCTGAGTACCTCACTGCCATTGTCCAAGCTTGCTTGGCCCCGGCAGATGAACCTTAGGATTAAAGGGTGGGCTCAGTTCAGCGCAGGCTGTGTCTCACCTAAAAAATCCATTGCGCAGGCTGGAAAGGTAAAAGACCTTTCCCAAAATCTTCACTCGCGAAGACTGGCCATTATTATTTGTAGGGCAGTGAAAGTGCTGAGTGCTATTTCCAGTATGGAGAGTAGGAAAACATTAAAAATCATATTTTAGCCATCCAGAAATAATATGAATGAGATGGAAGAAATAGAAGAGTGGGCGGAGTAAGTTGATTTTTATTCTGTCTCCTTGTTCTGTGACATTAAGGTGAAATTGTCGTTTTACCTGAGCATCACATTACCTACAGAAACATTGTGATAGTCTCTATCTTGATTGTCATCATTTCATAAGGAGTGTGATTTTTTTTTTAAATCCTTTGGTGAGCACATTGCTGCAGCTGTAGCCTTGGTCTGTACCTTTGCACACATAAACTATGAAAGTGATTCAGCCACTGCTGCAGAACAGAACTGCTTAAACTTTCTCCTAGAGAAATTCCCCAAAGGAACTGAAAGGGTTTAGATTAAAAAATAACTTTCTTACATTTCTATTTTGGCATAAAAGACAGAATTAACTTTCAAAAAAAGTTAAAGCAATGAAGAGACAGAACAGAAATAATACGTTAACGTGCTGCTCATTTCATCCCTGTAGACTGCAACTTACTTTTGTGTTTCAGTTCAATTAGCTTGTTACTGAACAGCAGCAAAATTTGATCATTTACCCTCAGCTCGAGAGAAGTTTTTACTCTGTTTTTGTGGTCTTGCTGCCAGACTCATCCTCTGTGCTTCCTCTTAGCCTCTGCATGAGTTCCAGCCTTCAGGCTAGATATTGTTTGCCAGCTCAGCAATTTTTCCAACCCTGAAGACATTCAGCAGCACCTGGTGACATGAGTGGTCCTTCCAAAGGGTTCTGTTGGAGCCAGCCTTTCCTTAAGGCAAGGACAGACATATGCTTGGGAACACTGACATACAGATTGACCAAAGATGGTCAAGTGAGCATGTACAGTTGTCTACTACACATTAAAACACTGTATGTTTCTTGATGGATACTTGATGTATTTTAATTGATTTGTTTCTATTTAATTCTTCAATTGCCTTAAAATCACATTACCATACCCTTTACTTATTGGACAAGGCTTGATTTGAATTACTGGGAGGCCATATTTTATTAATAAAATGTAGTTAGTAAGTGATTCAAATTCATTTTAGCTTCTGGCTAAAGTAACCCTGATTTCACGGTGGTAGTTTTGCACGCACTAGCATTGAAATTCTCCTCCTTACTGGAAACATATTCTAGGACATGTATCATAGAATTAAAATTTAGATGTCTGGGCAGGTTTTCTAACGAAGGATTAATACTGTACACTTTTATTTCTTTGTTTTGCTCCTACATTGCATCCTTGCTAGTGCTACTTTGTAAATCTTTTATCAAATGCTATAGTGGTAATCCCCTTCCCACATGTCCTTCACAGTTTTGAGTGCTTTGCTTGTTTTGTGCTCTTGCAACTTCTCTTCCTACAGATTAAGCCCATTACAAAGAAGCAGTGGATAGCAGTACCTGATGGTGATGGGAGGACTCAGAAAAAAAGAACATATTTGTAAAGCCAAGAATCTCAGGCAAGAATGTAATTTCACTGTTGAAAAAGCACCAGTACAACAACCCAAACCACAAAGCAAAACAAACTAAAGAAATGGTAACCAACTCAACAAACCAATACTAATCTAGATGGATAAAGAACTAACACTATCTAGACTGAGAACAGTAACCTTGCTATAAATTAATAAACTACGTTCTTTTAGTTTTCTCTTTTAAATTTTTGTTTGATGTATTCCTAAAAGTGGTTCTCTATAAAAGTTCACTGAGTTGTAAATATTTGGCATAAACTGCCTCCTTTCATGGTTCTTCACAATGGTTTAGTTGAATGGTGAAAAATAAAAAATTTCTGTTTCTTCATGGAACAATCTCCATGTAAAATGGCTGACAGTATAGTTACAGAAAAAAAGAAATAGAGGAAAATAAATACTGAATTGAGTTGTCATTACTGTTAAAAGTGTTGCAGGTAATATTTATTGGAAAAATAAAAATATTTCAAAGGGTTATATTTCACTGCTTATTAAGATACAGTCCAATGGTAATAAGAGAGACATGAGAGCAAGTAGAAATTATAAAAAACAATTAGAAATTATAAATCTCTCTCAGCAATATGTTTTGTATCTTGTAGATCAGAAAATGCTCTTTAGTTGGATGACTTCAGTGCTAAAGAAGCTGTAAATAATGAAAAAAGAAAAGGAGTCAGGGAGTAGAAGAAAATAAATAGGAGAAACTCATCATTTTTCCTTCTAAGCCTGAATGAGGGTTGGTGTCTATCTAGGAGTCAAGGTGCTCGAGTTCTCATGAGGCAAAAGAGAGTAAATTGCCAGTTGCAGACAATGTGAATGCAATTTTACAAGAGGTGGTTGAATAGGGGACTCTCTTTGTGATTGATTGCTTTCTAAACCATCAAAAGGGTCTGAAATAGGGCAGCCCAGGGGTACATTTTGCACTTTACACATTCTGTTTGTGGCTGTGTCATTTTCATATGAAATTCATAGTAATGTATATTCAACGTTTTTATTAATTTTGTTAAACTTCCTATTGAATTCATCTGGAGTTTTACTATTTTATTAATTTTCTTTCTCTGAGGGAGGATTTTCTGGAGTATGGTGGTTCTCTGCTCTTATTCCTGACAACAATGGGAAAATTGCAACAGTGTTGCCAAATACTACATTTCACCTACCTGCATGGATAAGCAGCCAAAGTCTCCAGCCTGCTCCACAGCCTTGAAGAATTTCTACAATGTTTGTAAACTTAGAAAATGTATGTTGTTGTTTACAAATTCAAATATGAAATGCAGATCACATCCTAATCTTAATTAATAGTGTTTAAAGAGCTATAATGTTTATTTGTAGAAAAACAAGTGAATGAAATTGAAATAACTTCGAATAGCTCACTTTCACTTGTTTACTTTCTACATCTTCTTGGACCAATTGCTCCTGGAAGTTTGGAGGAGTTAATAAAATTTAAATTGGAGGTACTATACTTGATTAAGCAAAATAAAAAAGTCTATGTTTTCTGTGAACTGGATTCAAAGATAGTTGCAGTAAATACATTTTCACCTAACTAATCCAACTTTGCACATTGCCTTTTAGCCTGTTCATGGTGTTTTTTTCTCTGCAATTAGGCAAGTGTAAAATCCTGAGGACAATTAAAACATTACCATAAAAATAGAACTACAGTTTACACTTCTGCACAATTTTAGACTGCTGCATAATAACTTAGAAGGAAAACTTTTATCATAACAATAATAACACTAATAAATGGGGAGAAACGATCTAACCTGGTTCACAAATTACAATGTGAGACTATCATTAGATTTTACAAAATACTTCTACCATGTTTTATTTAGTTCAATTCTTAAGGAAAGTCATAGACAGTGATTTGGAAAAGCTCCCCTCAGCAGTATAAACACAATCAGTTGTCTCCTAAACAGAAATAAGAGCTGTTAAATATGTTGTCAATGCATAATTTGCATTTTAATAGTGAAAGTACTCTGATAAATTACAGTTTTCTGTCCTTTTAAAGTATGCATATAATACTTAAATGTTGTATAGTATTGTCGCTGGATCACAGAGATTTTCAGTTTTCTCTAATACCATTTGTTATGAGCATTAAAATTTTGCTTCCAGCTCTTGCTGATTAACATTCTTCCTTTCAACAGCTAATGTCACTATGAAAATAAAATTATTTAAAATAAGTATCCCTTTGAAAAGAAAAAAGGAAAGTATTTCACTTTGACATATAATTTTCTTCTTGCAAATTTTCCCTGATGCATTCTTCATGGAACACGCTGTTGTCTTTCTCTTGACCCAATGCCTAACAGTTTTCTACTACAATATTTCACTCCGTAACATAAAATTAAAACATATCTAGAAAATAGAATGCATTCTTCATGATTAAACACTGTCTTTCTCATCCTAGAATTTCTCCCTTTATTCAAATTTATGCATTTGAGATGACTTCTACAGAGCCTATTATGGCAGCATAAGATAGTGTAAATGGTACAAGCACAGACTGAAAGCATTCTACCTGGCTACACATGTTGTCCTTTGGCCTGTTTTACTAACACTTAAATTGAAAAAGAGATAACAAAGTAGAGAATCATTACTTTAGACTTAATGTAAATGAAAATCACCACTTCATCTAGAAAAGGTCAAAGCAGATACAATGGCGAATGTTTGGAGAGAGTGAAAGAACAGTTACCTCTCTCACAAGGTCTAACACATCTTTTGTGTTCATTCAGGAGAAACGTGTAAGTGTATTCAAGTTGCTTTTACTCAGAGGGTAACTTTTCTATGAAAGTTTCATTTGGCACAGTTCAAAAAAGGCAGCTTTTTACTTTTCTTTAGCAGTTTGGGATGGGGAAATCATAACTGCTGGTAAAATGTAGTGATTGGCTCCGTGTTCTAAGGTTGAAATGGTTGCTAGCTGCTCAGTGGAAACCTATAAATACAATACTGTCTCCATCAACACGTTCCAAATAGCTCAGGAAATCTGTGGCACAGCCATATCTAAGCTTTCACATATGAGACCTATAACATTAGAGTAGTTTTCTTTGCGACACAATGGTTTTCCCTCATCCTTGTTGCCTTCTGAAAAGGTAATAATACAGTTTGAGAGAATGCAAAATATTGGTTGCTGTGCAGTTATACAAGAGTAGGGTGAATGCTTTCAAACAGGAAGTGATATTACAGAAGATAAGATATACCATTGTGTGTGGTTTTAGGTCCTGTGCGAATTTAAAAAAAATCAAATTTTTTAAAAAAGGTACATAGAAATTTCACAAATCCTATTTCTTGATTAGGAAAGTAGAGCAATAGTTAACAGCAGTTACGAGAAAAATGCTTCTTAATACAAAGAAAAGATCAGTCAGAGAATATGATAAAAGACCTTGGACAGCACATAAAACCTGATTTATTCTTACCTGCTTCTAAAAACCTTGCAGCTATGGTTGTATAGCAGAAATATTAGTTTATTTTTATTCAAGAAATGACACATCTGCACTCCACTTTATCCGCAGGCTTAAACATATTATGCTTTAACTATCATTACACTGGCTCTTTCATCTCACAGCAGACATTACACTTTCATTTTATTTAGTTTTACTGAGTGCTTGTTTAATGACAGGTTATTGTTTTGTTTGGATTTTGTGGGAGGGTTCTAGAGGGGAAAGCAGAGAGTCATGAGGGTATTCTCCCCTGCGTTCAGACTGTTCTGTACTTTGAAAAAGTGATGTTAAATTCCTTTTAAAGAAACATCATTTTCAACTACAAATAAATACTCTTTTCCATGACAAAAGAATGTTTCACCTCGGGTAATCAAAGAATATTTATAATAGTGAGCTGCCTTAGAATGAAATATTTCTATTTCTTGTTATAAATCTGTGTGTATGTTTTAAAAATATATGAGTTCATTATAATAATGGCACAGGCATCCACATTTTTACACAGAAATTGACAAATATACTCGTATGTGTAAACGAATTCATTCATCCATGCACAAAAACACTTCAGATCAATAATTGTATCATCCTTTGGTTTTTTACACACACACACACATGTTTAAAAACAGAAGACTGAATATATATTTGTTTGTTTTAACAGGTGATTGTTTGTTAACCCAAAATCATATGTAATATGCTGCACTGGAGTTACAGTCAGCAAAACTTTGTTGTTTAAATGACTTTAAAGGTTAGGGAAGGTTCAAGTCCAAGGATACTTGCCAGTGCAGGCTGACAATGAATATTTTCATTTTAATGATAACTTGTTTATCATCTTGTAAATATTTTCAGATGCCACTTTAACAGGCACTGCCTCTGGGGAGAAAAGTACTTTGAAGACTCTATGGTAACCCAGAATCTTTAT